TACAGGGAGACTTAGAGGGTGTTTTAGGCTGAAGGGGAGATTACCTAGAAGACCTTGTTTCCACTGAATATCTGACGTGAAAACAGACACAGATTTCTGACTTTATGAAAGAGCCCCGTAGCCAGACCACACAAATTCAAAGGCATCTTCCCCATGTCAAGTTCTCGATCTAAAACTCTCAGACCCAGGGACTCTCCTGGAGGCCTCCAAATCCACATATTTCTACCTTTTCCCAGCAGGGTTTGGAAGATCATCCATTTGACACTCAGCTGCTATAGGAGTTGTCTTAGCCAGCTCCATGGTGCAGAACAATCCTGATTATCTGTCCCTAAAGAGAATTGCACTAGCAGAAAAAGTGTAAAAGTTGGCCTGTGAGGTGCACACTGTTTCTGTGTCTGACTTCCTGAGGTGGAGGCCCCTATAGAAGGAGCTATGTGTTTGCTGATTTGACTCAGAAGGCTGAACTGTGGCATAATGAGCCCACCTAGTATGGAGACCTTACCCTGCGCTATGGCCTAAGAATGTGCTTCTGTCTTCCCGACAAAGCAGCAAACAGGCACAGACACTGGAGTGGGCTAGTGGAGTCATTGCTTCCACCACCGTGGGCGGTGCTGTGAGTGGCAGATGCTTACCTTCAACCACAGAACTGATGTTTCCTATGTTCTCATCGCTGACAGCTGCTAGTTTCTCCATCACTTTGATCTGCCTAGAAAGCTTCTCTAAGAGGTTTCTTGCCACAAATGGGGTTTTGCTTGAGAAAACAATTTGCTGATAAAACAAACAAAACCACTGTTTCAACTATGCTATAGTCAACAGAGCTTTCCCTCCCCAGCCTCATCCTTCCTGAATGTGGTGGTGAGTCTAAATAAACTCATACAGTGCCTTTGTTCCAGCTTGATAACGCTCCTCATTCCATGCCAGTTACGACATCTGATGAAATCGGACAAATTTTTGCTGCTTTAGACTTTTTTCATGCCTGTATATATTCTGGAATTTTCTCAGTAGTAGAGCTGCAAGGTTATTGTAAAGCTCTTTCCTTTTATGTGTTGTAAATCTGATCTTCCTCTTTGAAACTTGGAGGGCACATTTGGACTATCTTGGCATGTAAGCAGAAAGAAATTTGTTTTACAAGTACAGTAATTTTCCACAGCATGGTTTTATTTTATTGTTTTCAAGCTGAAAACTAAGAACAGATTGTATAATAACTATAATTACAATTAGAGCTATCTTAGAATTAATGAGTGCTTACTGTATACCAGGCACTGATCTGAGCCCTATATATGTATTAGCTCATGTTATTTCTCAGAACCCAAAGAGGTGGGTCCTATTGATATCTGATTTTACTGATGAGAAAACTGAAGCACAGAGAGGTTAAGTAACCTGCCCAAGGTCACATAAGCAGTGAGTGGTTTCATTTGTGTGTATGTCACAAGAATGAAGAGGCCTGAGAGAGGAAAGGACATAAGTCACTTGCCGCCTGGTGGTTGGTCAGCTGGTAGGCATGGATGCAGGAGGCAGACCTGTACCACCATGCCGGACTGTCTAAAGCATTTGGACTCTAAAACAAATAGGCTTTTCAAACTCAACACTCTAGTGTAACAATTATGTACTAGTGCCTTTCATGTAAGTAAATATAGTAGAAATAAACTATGTTTAAAAAATAATTATAGCTAATAATTATATGATTCTTATTGAATGCCCATTTTTATCTCTCTGCAATTAGATACTAAATGAATAAGTATACTCACTGATTCAGGAGTGCAAGTGAGAAATTAAGTCTCTAATCCTCACTCTTTCAACCTATGTCTTTATAGCCACCTCTTTTGTGTTTCTAGTGCTGAGCTTCCCCACAGAAGAGGTGAATTGTTATAACTGTGGTCTTATCAGAGGAACAAACACTGCAATGACTATTGCATGTCGATTAGTCTTTGGGAGAAAACATTCACTCCAGCATGGAAGAGAATTCTCTTATGACTCAGAAAATAACACCTCTAAAAGGTAAACAGGTGGTTTGCTTGGCACACTGTCAGGCTCAGCAAGTATAAAGAGGTTTGAGAACTCTCATTCAAATGGTTGGTGAGTTGAGGAAGGACAGGCATGGCCATCAGAATGTTTGCTCAAATCAAAGCAGGACTGGTCTCTTATTCCTCAATTCTCTTTTCCCCAGGGAAACTAAGAAACGGGAGCACTTTCCTGGTATGTAATCAACCCCAGGCTCTCAGACACAAGTGTGGTCTCTAATCCTACCTGAACGAGTTGGGTGCAGTACTGTAGGTGCCTAACGATGGTGATGTCCAGGCTCTCATTTCCTGTGGTCAGTGGGAGAGGGCTTCCTGCCACACTGGTCCCAACTCCTGTGTCTTCAGTCAGCGCTTCACTAAGGTGCCCCCTGGCTTCCGGGTGAACTGACCTGTAACTGGCGAAGCAGGAAGGTGGGTGAGACATTAGCTATTTCTGTCTGTGTACAAACCACACATCAACTCAACACGGCTCAGTTCAGGCCCCTAACAGCACCCACTGAAAACAGTCTTTCATTTGCCTACCTTGAAAAATAAAGACACCTTTCAAAAATGACTTAAGTCAGCCCAGTCACCAATTTGTTTAGTGTTAAAAGACCATGCAAACAAATTGCTTTCCAGAGTTTTCTGTTTGCGCCTCAAGCACAATGATCCATTTATGAAGTTACTTTACCAAGGAGTCTTTGAAATGTGTGCTCATTTTGCAGTTGTTGCACTTTCCTACTCTATTGATGGGGTGATTTGCCAAATTTTCTGGGATTAAACTGTCCTCTGTAATTGTGGTTTTCAAGAGCAGTACCATTAAGAAATAATCTGTCAAGGCTTTTTCCTGGCCTCAGATCAATTGCTGCTTGAAGAAAAGGAAAAAGGAAAGCTGCCAAGAAGAGAGACACAATGTTCTACTGTGGACAAAAGTTAAAAAGGGTGTTTGAATATTTAGAGGCATAGCTTAGTCCTGCCTCTCATGTTTTGTTGAAACTCCACTGTTGAACTGTCTAAAGTTATATCATCATGGGCACTTACATTAAAAAAAAAAATCTGTTAGAGTCCATTAGCTAATTTTATTTTTAAAATGAATCGGTGTGTTAGGGAGGGAGGGAATAGCAGTCTCTTTTCACAGATGGAAGGACTGATTAGCAGAAGTGTTAGCGAGAGTGTCCTGGTTCACACAGCTAGGCAGATACAGTGCAGATTTTGGCCTCTAGCCCCACACTCCTTTGTGTCCACAATTTTAAAAGATCATGCACCACAGCTTAGAGGCTTTCAATGCTTCACTCCCATTCACAATTACCTCCAAGGAGAAAACATGACCTTGTGTCCTGGCAGTCAACACGTGGCTGTCAACACATATTTAAAACACACACACGCATTTTTTTCCTAATACTTCTGATGATGGACAGTAAGATTGATCAAATTAGACATATTTAATATTAATGTTCTATAGTATGTTCAAAAGCTGCAATGTCTTAAACATTTTTTTGGTTAAAATGCTTCTTACAGCAAGAAGAAAAAATATTTGGAACGATGTCTGACCTTGATATATCATGTAGCAACTTAAGCTAACAAGGATATAGAAAAATTTTTGGTTAAGAAGCATTTCACAAATTCAGTGAAGCTAGACAAATCTCGATGTAGAATGTAGAAGTATAATTTAAACATTACATTCATTTAATACATTTTCTTTGCTGTGCTCCCAGTTTGCTCAAGGGATAAATTCTAGCTCCCATGTTTTTGTTTTTGTTTTTCCTGGTTTTATTCTGGAATAAGAAACCTTTGAGAAACAACAAAAACCCAAAACAATAACATCTCCTGCAGAGAGATTTGTGAAGGTTGAACAGCCTTGCTTGTTGTAACTTGAAAACCTGTTTATGTCACGTTGTGCCAAAGGTAAAGATGGGTGGGAAATCCACCCCTTCCTCTGGGAAAGCCGTTGTATATTCTTTCACAGCAATTGATGGAGGTGCTTGGTTTGCTTCATTGGAAGTTACTAAATGGACCCCAGGCTCTAGTTCTAAAAACATGGTTTGGCTGCACAAGGACCCCTGATGGAGAAAGTGAAAATGACTTCATTTCCTCTCCTTCCTCCCAGAAGGTCACATTCTCCACCTAGGGGGCTGTCGATCCAGTGGCCATTATCGGTCATTCTCTCTTACATTCTAAGGGAAATATACACTGTGGGGCTTAAACCCATGATCTGTGGATTTGATCTATACATTGATGAGCTTAATCTCATGCAAAGACTCGCTGGGCTGAAGGGAACCAAGAAGCAGATAAAGGAAAGCAAAGCACAAAACAAACACGTCCGAGGTAAGATGCAAACCAGGGAGAACCAGGTCCAAATTTATCACCCAATAAGAATTCTCTAGAAATGTAGTATACATAGTTAATTTGGAATTAATCAGGGTCAAGTTGTAGACAGTGAGCCCTACAAGACGTATGTGTACACATGTACATGTACACACGCACTGTCATGCAAAAATTTCCCCTTTATTTATAAGGAAGAAAAGCAACTTATTTTTTCTTAAGCAACCCAAAAGAAGTAAACAATATTTAAAAGTTGTACTTGACAATAAAAAGGAACCGTATGTCAATTGTAAGCCCAGTTATTCATGTAGGGAGTTTCATCTTTCTGGAAATGTGCACCAGGTCCCCTCTGATAATAACAAAGATCTACTGTCCCAGCTATGACAGAAGAAATATAAGCAGACACCTCAGACTTACCTGTTTTTTTCAGTCTCAGTGTCTGAAAATACTGAATCAGCACCTCCTCCAACATTACAAACCTCATCACCATCCTCTTCTTCATCAAAATCAGAGGTATTCAGGAAATCAAAGCTTTCTAAAGCACTTTCAACTGTAAGACTTAAACTGGAAGACCTGCTGCGGCTTACTGCTGGCTTGCACTGCAAAGGTAGAACGCACCAGGGAGAACATCAACACATCCAGAAGAGAAACAGGACACACGACACCCAGATGGAGATGTGACATTTTCTTTTTTCAAGTTTTATTTTTTGTTGGCATTTTAAAAATGCATTTATCATCTTCATATTCAAAAAAGAAGTACCACCATGGATAAATTGGTACAATATCTGGGATTTGTTCCAAAATAATCCAGAAGCAAGTAAACAGGTATAAGAATAGATGAAACAAGATTGGCCATGAGTTTGGGGAAGTTGGAGAATGGGCACGTTGGGATACATTATATAATTTTCTCTACTTCTGCTTGAAATTTTTAAAACAGAATGTTAAAAAAAAATAACAAAAAAACCGGCAACCAGAAAGCCTTGGGAAACAGAGCTATATTCCCTCTGCCTCATGCTCATTCCCAAGTAAAGTACAACCAGCAGACAAATGTTGAGTCACTGAATTAGAGCTGAATACTAACCAGTCTCTAATTCCAAGTGGCAATATCCTCAGTGTCCTGAGACAGGAGCTAGCTATCTAAGGCATCTGTTCTAAAGGACTAACAAAACAAATCCCAGAAACAGAAAACTGCTCAAATTCACCTAGCTCATGCTCCCGAGGTAAGAAGTCGTGCATTTAATGTTTATTCACAGTGTATAATTTTTTCTTTAAGCATCGAGGAGACAATGAATGGCACAGTCATGACAAGAAGTAGCCCTGCTTCCTCTGGAGCTCTGCCTTTGAAGGAACAAGTCCCATTACATCCCTGATGAGGAACTGGAGTTATGAGAACAAACCCATCCTACAGACTGGAGAATTCTATATTACCGGACATAAGCAGAAACACTACAAACAGAATAATTCCAGTTGCTATGGGCACAGAAATGGAGAAAAGCATTTCCAAATATTCAAGAGGATGCTGGGGTGGATTGAACGGGACAAGTCCTGCAAGTAAGAAGCACTATATGTCCTTCATCCAGTTAGGTGTCACTCCTTGCCGATTTCTCAGCACAAGGTAAGAAGGATCTCGTGGGGATCTGTCTCTGACACTCAAGATGGCACAAAAGCACATGGGAAAATGCCTTTCAGTCTTTTAAATCACAGTTGTCTCATTCACCCTCAGTGATCTCCGTCCAAGAGGCAGCATCATTTAGTTTCTGATCCTCAAGATGTTTAGTACCCTAGGAATGTGAAGGGGGGAAAAAAAAGAGAAAGCTTTGTCCAGCTGATGCTTTAATTCTGGCTGGAGACAAAGCCACCTGCCCCAGACCTAAACTCTACTGACATTTTCAGTCTCAAAGGGAGAGAGGGAGCTGGTCTGGACTCAACCACTTGTAGGGTCTTCTTTCCTAAGCTAGCTGTCTGCACAACATAATCTTGTACAGTATGGATGTGTTTAAATATTGGTCATAACAAAGAAAGGGGCAGTTGAGGATTTTAGTAATGGGATAGTTTTGGAACAGCAGCAGACTGAAATAATACTCTGGAAAGAAATCTGTGACCACCAGGTTTTTATAAGACTAACAGATAATATGCTTAATGTTTCCTGGTGGATTGAGCTACTTATCAGCATCGTAGATGCCTGGAAACAGGAGCTGCCATCACCATTGGCTTTCTTCAAGGCATTTGCTTTAGGTGGAGTCAATTTGTGCTTCAGCTCTTTGAAATGAACATCTTTTGCCCACAAAGCTGGTTAACTGTGCAGAAAAGATGTTCAGTTGAACACCAGATAAGCAGCCTCCATGCACGAGCCCTGAGCTGATGCTTTCAAGCTGTTTTACAGAAAGCAGATTCAGAGCACCCTTCCCTGCTTCTCAGAGGCTGAACTAATCTGTCATAAACATTCAAAGGCCTGGAGAGTCAGAGCCTGAATTATCACTGCCTTGGGCACAAATCCCTCCAGAGCTAGGCTACCATGACTCAGTAGAGAGGGATAAGATGGTCAGAAAAGCCTTGGGAATGTAGTTCCACCTGTCATTGCAAAGGCCACATCTGAAAACAGTCATACAAAGGAATGCAACAGCCTTCTGCAGGTTGGTTGTCAGTTTGCCACTACCACCTTGCTTTCAAGCCTATTTTATAGAACAGGTCCTTAAAGAGTTGCTCTTTCAAGAGAAAGGATCCAAGTTCTCTTCCGCATGACAATATAAATCAGAGTGGCAAAGGAAAGAATGCTAGAAGTGGCAGTGAGATTTGAGACAAAAATTTAAGTTCTGTCTTCTTGTGCAATGCTTTTAAAAAATGATCTGTATGCCAGGTGGAGACAGATGCATTCTGATAGAGCCATAATGAGCTCATTATTAAGACCTCCCACCCAAGAGAAAATCATTCCTCTCAGTCCTACCCTCCCAGTTCTATGCTAGGCTGTCTGATCACGGAGACAGATGCATTCTGATAGAGCCATAATGAGCTCATTATTAAGACCTCCCACCCAAGAGGAAATCATTCCTCTCAGTCCTACCCTCCCAGTTCTATGCTAGGCTGTCTCACGGACTGAGGAAGCTACCTCTGGTGGAGTCCGGAGTTCCCTGGTTTCTAGAGTATGACTGATGATTATTTGCTGATGATTAATCTGAGATCTGAATTTACTGATTTGGGCCAAATCCAGGAGAAAGGAATCCTCCCACAGGCAGTGCTGGAGTAGGAGTGAGGGAGATGCCCGTGGTTCTCACATCAGGTCGGGCTAACTCTGACTCTGATCAGGGAAGGTGTTCCTGAATTCCTGATACTTTGGAAGGGACCCTGTCCAGTAACATTTGTGAGACTATGATGATCAAACTGCCACCATTTCACATTTGGGATTGGGATGATTAACTCTGGAACTGGAAGAGTTCAGACATTCTTCAGAGCTCTTAACTCCTAAGAAAACTGAAAGTTAAATTGAAAAAAGTTAAAAAAACTAAAGTTAAGTTGATCTTTGGAAAATAAAAATTAATATGTGTTCTTGGCATTAAAAATCAATACCATTTAAATGATGAATATCTATTGATCCTGTGATTGGACAGGATTTTAAAAAAATTTAAAAAGATACACTATCTTAAATAGATTTCTGGCTTAGGGCACCTCTCTCCAAACCTAATCCAATTTCTCTGAAAACGTACTTACTTTTAGAATATCATCCAAATGCATAACTTCTTGGTTCAGATCCTGAAACTCTTTATACTGCTCTTTATGTGGTTCTAACACAAGGAAAAGCCCATTAAAGGCATCCTCTAAGCTTCCATCTAGAAAAGATCTACAGCCTTCGGATTCTCCACTGATGGAGCCCTCAAAGAGCAGCCTCTCTGTGACCCCTGGCACCTCTGCTGAGGTGAGTCTCTTGACCAGCTGCTTTGTGATGTTTCCTTCAGACATGTCCAGTTCCACAGGCTTGAGTTCAGAGGCCTCATCGGACTCTTGCAGAAGTGCCTCCGCAACACCATTCTCAAGGAACAGGCGCTCAACCCCGGCACCCGTGGATTGGCAGCAAGCCTCAGTCGTGGCCGGGGTGGGTTTCCCAGGCTCCTGCGTACCTTCCTTCAGGTGTGACTTTGGCTCTTGGCCTTCTCCCAAGGAGGTCCTGGAAGATGCTGAGCTGGTGTCATCCATGCCCTCATTCTGGGAGGACAGGCTGCTGTGGTTCCGCTCTGCAGGAGTGATGGTAATTTCTGGATTTGCTGAGCATGAGTTGGAGTGAGAGCCAACTGAGGTGGAGGTGAGGGTGCAGTCCCCATTGGGCAGGTCACTGAAGCTGAGAGACAGTGGCATTTTCTCCTCAGCTGCCTTTCCACTTTCAAAGATGTCATCAGGTAGATTTGACTGTGGATAAAAGGCACTTCATTATTATTTCCAATATAAATGATGCATTTGGCATGGTTTATTCCCAGACAAAATGTAAGGCAACTAAAATTAAAAAACCAGAACTTTCAGAATATTAACATTTTCTTTTTTGGTTTGTATATGTCTGTATATGACTGGCAAAAGAAAGCAAGCCATTAAAAACTGTTTCCACTGTTGAATCTAGGTGAAAGTTCATGGTACTATTCTTAGGTTTGACATTTTTCAAAAGAAAAGGTTGGAGCAGAGGGATGGTGCTTGTTTTCTAAATCCCAGGATCTCCCAATATTTGGCAGCCATAATTATGAATAACACTACTGATTTTTCTTTTCTTTTCTTTTTTTTTTTTTTTT